AATGGCCAGAATTTGCTAAAAAACTGGCAAACCATCATTTCCTGGCGTTTTATTCACAGGCAGAGTTTTAATGATTCATTTGGCTTCCTCCAAGGTGACAAGTGCCACACAATTTTGGTGTGTAAGGGTTTTGAAGAAAAGTGGATTGGATGTTAAAATCAATATCGGTTTTTAGGGTGGAGGCGAAAGCTGATGGGCCCTATGCAACTGTTGGGTTTGCTTCCACGTCTGTCTTTAGCGTGATCTAATACAATGTTAAGATCCCCCCCCCCAGATTACATGGATATCGTGGTCAGACAGACTTTCTCTAATTTCTTGGAAAATATTTTTGGAAATGTAATACGGCTTTTCTCATCATTAGGAGCATATGAATTGAAACCCCCGTAGTACCTACACTTTCTTTTATACTGACTCGTTTTTCTGTTTTAGAAAGGAACACAAGCAAAACAAAAAAACAAAACAAGACCCCCCCCCCTCCAGCTTAGGCCACAGCCACCAAACATAGCCTGTAAATCAGAGTGCATCAATTGAACAAATACCAGTGTTACACTCCCGCCCCGTGGGCTCATAGTTCAAAACAAATCATCTCGCGGAAGTTCGCTATTTTACTGCTAAAAAATCCAGAGCGAGCCGGTCAAAGATTCGTTTACATGTCGTAACCTTTGACCTCCTCTATATAGTTTCTTTATCAGTAGACCATGTAATTCATCGCATTTCTGACAAAGTATCGTTGATCAGTATAATTCAGGCTTCAAAATGGAAGATTACTGTAACAAATGCATTAAAATAAAAAACGATTTGAATATTATGTTACTGCTCATGCGAAATATGTCATGTTTGGCTATTTAAAAAACTGCATTGTGGTTTTCGAAAATAATTATTAACAGTCTTTGAAAAGATAAAAAAGTGTTGAAAGGTAAGTTAGATACTATTTACGATGATATAAAAAATGTATTTTACCCAATCACTCAATAAACACCTTAAACTATAGTTTGACAGTTCACTGATTATAAATGGGCATAACCTGAAGAAACGTCTCCTGATACGGTCGTCATAGCAATATCAGACTGAATGTTACAACCACGCTGTTTAAAATGTCGTCGAATGATGCAGGTTGCCAATGCCGTGAGTGATAATAACAGAAGCAGTATTAGTGTACACGTAAATATCGCAATGAGCCAAGATGCAATGGGTGGATCTTCCTCAGCATAACTCACAGATCCTATGAAGAACTCTAGAGAATTCCCAATTGTGACCTGTAATAACATAAATTAACATAAATAGTATAGAATCATTTTGGAATGGTGAAAATTAAAGGGGTTATTCAGTTAAATAAAGACGTCGATATCATTGTTTCAATTCAATACAAAGCAAGGTAGGTTCATGATTAGACACACTGTTTACAAAAATAAAGGCCACCGTAAACCGATGAGGTGTGAGCTCGTGTGGCTTATATCCAGACCGAGTTAATCTGAGATTCGATTTAGGAATATTCTTCATTATTTTATCTATATATTTTCTGTTATTAGTTTTTAATTTGCGAATTTTTGTTTTGTTTTATTTGCTGTTATTGAGTTCGTTTTTATATCGTCGCCTTAACTACCTCTGATTCAATGTTTGGTATCACACAGCGCCTTACAAAAATGTTGTATGATTTGTGCATGCACAATTTATAAAATTTCAAGATGGTAAATTGTGATGCAAATTGCCTGCTGAAAAATCTGTCGCAGATAGTGATTTGGAGGTGGGTTTAGCCATTTTTATGCAAAAATATTTTCTTTCATGAGTAATAAGAATTGGAGAACATAATTTATTCGAGTTATTTGCTATGTGAGATATAGAATATCGGTCAATAATAGAGAACAGTATTATGCATTACATAACACTTTTTTTATCCACTTTTGTGAATTCTCTTCTTTTTAGGTATATAATACCTGACTTTAATCTGCTCTGCAGCAGGTTATGTGTTGCAATTTCTCTGTCACTCGTATCTTCATATATCACCCGATACTTCACTGAGTGTTAGTGCGTATTTACACTTGCTTTCTATGTGCTTAGCTTCTTCTTGTTGTATTTACGGATATATTCTTTTTTAAATATATTTTTTTATATATTCTTTAAATTTAAACATTCTAATATACGTTTCATCCGACCGTCCAGCAGTCACATGAACTGATGATTGTTGGTTCCATTCGGTAGGTGTGCAATGCCGACATAGCCACACATTTGTCAAGATTGAACTAGTGGAGTTTTCGTTTGGTAACCCGTGCTCTTATTGGTTGGTTCTTACAATATATTTCCATATGCATCCATTAATATATAAATTGGAGCCTATACCTACATCAGATTTCAATCAGATTGATTGAATAAATCCTGTTGTCTAATTAAAGCCATCATGATTAGTTCAACAAATTAATAGCAACCGTAAATGTGACACACATGATGCATAACTATTTACCCATAATTCTGCCCCGCTTTTGTCATTTCCTCCATTTGGCGGATGTGCAGGTGGCACACAGGTCAGCTGATTCCATGCCAAGGAAATCACTTCACAAAATTCACTACCAATCATTACTCTAACATCGCTTTCATCCACTGCCAAATTTAAATCCTCGCCCTGTCATAATAAAGAGATGTTTGCGGGTAAACGAATCGACACCAGATTACATACATACATACATGCCCCCCAAATATCACCCCAAACCTAATAAGAATAGAGAATTGCAATTAAAAACATCCAATAGTAACACGGACAATTCGTGAAATTCATTATATACTAAAAGGCCTTTAAAGTTGTTTGGAAAAATACAATGCATTATAATATGACCCCTCTCACAAAACTTGATGATTTAATATTATTGTAGTACAGATTGTTTAAGTTAATGTATAGGAAGCAAATGTTTTTCATGAAAGCTTATCACTGATAGGGGCCATATATTTGCTTATCGTACACAGAGAATACATGTCATCATTGCTGGTTATACATTGCATCACACAAGATACAGACCTACCATGATTACGATAGGATCCTCCCCAAGTCCTCTGTATTTTT